ATGTTATATGAATTCTAGTCTGTAACTCCAAATGAATGATATTTCACTGAGGAAATCTAGAATTGACTCTGGAATCTCTACTGATAATTATGGAAAATGAGAACACTGCCATAGATAGGCAAACATCTGATTTTCATAAAAGGACATGGAACAGGCCACCAACCACAAAAATTACTAACATTCATGAGCTCCATGTCAATGCCTGGCAAAATAGGATTATTAAACAGATGGTCTGTGAGCACTTAGGTAATGAAGTAGTGATCACTAGGAGCTACCATGAGTTCACCATAACAAATCACATCAAAGTAACTTAATTTGTTTTAATAGGATTCCTACATCAGGGAAGGCCGTAGACAGTATAAAGCGTTTAACTAAGTCGTTTGTTGTGGACAAGTTGAAGAAATGCGGTCTTAATAATAGTTCAATAAATATGTTCATGACTGGTTCTGTAATTATATCTAGAGAAATTAATTATATAATGAGAGGCAATAGAGGGAGGTGGTTAAAGTATGGTTTCTGAAGCTGGCCTGCTTGGGTTTCAATCTTGGCTCTGCCACTTATTAGTTACGTGACCTTAGGCAAGATACAAAGGTTCAATTCCTCACCTGTAAAAATAAGGTCAATAATAATTATTCTTATCTTGTAGCATTGTTTTGAAAATTAAATAAATTATCACAAAGCACTCAGAAATAGTAAGTATTTAATAAATGTTGGATATTCATTTAACCAGGAAGGACATCTGTAATGACTTACTGTAAGACTCTTACCCAAACCTGTCCCATTTGACATTTTTATCCAAAATCTAAATAAAGACACAAAAATTTCAATTTAAGGATGACCCAAATCTGGAAAAGGGAGAGCCAACATACTGAATAGAAGAATCATGCTAACAAAAGGCCTTGATAGGCTTTAAGATAATCGGAACCTGGTAAGTTAAAGTTTATTAAGAATACATAGAGGGCTTCCCTGGTGGCGCAGTGCTTGAGAGTCCGCCTGCCGATGCAGGAGACGCGGGTTCGTGCCCCGTTTCGGGAAGATCCCACATGCCGCGGAGCGGCTGGGCCCGTGAGCCATGGCCACTGAGCCTGCGCGTCCGGAGCCTGTGCTCCGCAAATGGGAGAGGCCACAACAGTGAGAGGCCCGCATAACGCAAGAAAAAAAAAAAAGGTAAAAAGGGTTCTGCCTCTGACCATGGGTCATCTGTCTATTAACTGATCCATCAGTTGCACCAGTGTCATAAATAATGGTTAAGTTCTATAATTTACAGTTAAAAAAACATTGCCGGGCTTCCCTGGTGGCGCAGTGGAAAAAAAAAAAAAAAAAAAAAAGAATACATAGAAATCCTCTCTAGTTCTAATAGTCAGTTGTACCCACTTAAAAGAACTTCGTAAGAAAAGTCTTAAGGGTTTGAATTGACTACAGCTTCCATTTGAGCCAGTGTTGTAAAAATGCAGAAAATTATTGAGTGAACAGAACAAAGGAAGTAGTCCCACTGTGGGCTGGTTGTATTATAGAATATATTGATATTATATTCTATTTCAGATACCACGATTTAATAGAAGCATCAATAAACTGAGGTAATAATCCAGGATAATGAATAAGTTTGTAAAGTATAAAAAGAGGAACACTTTTAACCTAGAAAAGTTGAGTTGTATATTAGACAAATCTTCCAATATTTGAAAAGATAATATATGAGATATAGATTGGGTTTATTTGGCATTAGTCTTATTTTGGAAGAACTAGCTTCGAGAAGGCAGATTTTGGCTTAACTGTAAAGTAGGGTCTAACGATTGTAGCTCTTTTAAAATGAATGGGCTAATTTGTGAATCTGTAAGCTTCCTAACCCTAGAAATATTCAAGCAGAGGCAGGATTACTTGTCAGGGATATTGCACTGGGAGTTCCTGTATTGTGTGGGAAATTAGAGCTTTAATGTCTCTTCCAGTGCTAATATTCTATAATGTACTGAGGACTTCAATTTTATATGTGTTGAATTTCATTTAACTATTTTATCTTCATAAATTGATAATGATAATCTGCAACTTATGTTATATACCTCGAATTCCAAAATGACTTCAACAGCAGTCAAAGTGAATTTGGAAGAGTACTTTGGTTGCCAGTCATTTTAACAGACCTCTCCCATGTACAGAATTCTTATACTCTATTTCAGAAGTGATTCGCATCTGGGTACAAAAACATGCAGGTAGGAACTCCTTTGAGAGTTTTCAGAGTATGGAAAAACCCTGCTGAGTATACATAAGACACAACCCTTTAAATCTGTAAAATATAAGGAATAGGTAAAATAATTTAAAACATCAAATACTGTATAAAGTATTTATGTCAAATAAGTGTCAAACACACTTCTGAAGTTTCTGTCAACTGTTAACCACTCCAAATTCATATTTTCAGTAGTCCTCAAAAATGCCTCATCATGGCAATGATTAGCAGTTTCTCAATTTGTTAAATTATTTTATAGCAGGATTTAAAGACATAAAGATATAAAAACATGCCTCAACATAACAGCATAAAATAATTGCTTTTTTAGCATTTGGATAAAAATGATAAGAGATGTTCTTGAAGCTTTTTCCTTAAAATGATTGAACATGTTTTAAATGACTTTGTTTATATGCATAGTTCTCTGCCACAAATATCTGCATTACAACATCCTGGAAAAAATATATTATTCTTTTCTGTTAAACTTCCATAAGAGACTTTTAATACTCTGTGGTAGATATTTGAAGACAAGTTTTCATTATAAAATAAAACTACAGTTGCCCTTTTCTCTCATTTCTTTAGATAAGTGGGCACTAGAAATTATAGATAGGTTTGGCAAGAGTTCAAGGGTTAATGTAGCAGATAAATAAAAGGAATTTTCTGTAAATTGAGACCTGCATTATTTCAGTTGTCTTGTCTTTCCTAACCTAACTCATTTAATTTTAAAAAGTAAATACTTAAATTCTTCCTGACAGTGTGCTCAGCTTTTACTATCGTTTATTACTTCAATTATACTTGATATCACTTAGAACAATCTGCCATTTGGAAATCTCAGTATAGCCTGGAGCTTAGTATTAGATCTGGCTGCTGTTGTAACATGTACAGCATATGACATTAATGTATCAAAATTAGATTGGATCATCCCTCCTGGTTAAATTTATTTCACATTTCTTTTGTATTCAGTTAACATAAACCTATTAGGGAAGCTGACACATGGGGATGGCTGTATAGGAAGGATATTTTTAAAGTATTTTGATTAAAAAATGAAATTATAGAGCCGTGGCTTTTCTGAGTTGTGTAATCTTTTTTGGTTTTTAAAAATGTCACAAAGCCCAAGTCTTGCATTTATGTCATTCAGGGTGTGTGTGTGTGTGTTATAAGTAATGATAATTAAAACTTAAAATAAACATTGTTTTGATGTTTGAGGTCTATCATCATGTATTTAGAGCAATAAGCACATTTATGGTTTCCAAAAAGAATTATTTAATCCACTTAGACCTAAAAAAAGTCCTCCTTAAAAGAAAATAAAAATCTTTATATTTCTAAAATAATAGATTCTGGTCTATAGACTTAGCTGGGCACTGTCTTTAGAGTAATAGCTGCCACTATCTTATAATCTGTCAAAGAAGAGAGGGCATTTCTTACTTGGGAATATAAATTTTAAAGTTCAGGGATTTACCTCGTGTTTTCAAATACTTAATGACATTCATAGTGCCTAGGATTTTCTAGATAGATTGGTGTTGGGGACTTTTAAAAACCATTAGAACACTGGTTCCTGGCTTTTTTTTGTAATACATAGTCCTATATGATAGACTTTCTTCTCAGAAAAATACACAAATAAAATTTGCAAGAATTCATAGATCCCTTGAACCCAGATTAAGAACTCCAGGGTTAAAGGGTGACCAAAGAAAACCTTTCATTAATTGGAAGGTTAATTCCTTTGTTTGTTTAAATGACACATTTAATTGTTTTCCTGCCTTGCGGTCATTAAGTCAAAATAAGTCCAATATTTCAAAAACAGAAATTACCTATATGTTAGCCCCTACTAAGAATATTGACGACACTTATCCTAATTTTTTCTTCCACACTTTTCTGCCTACAATATGTCACGTTATCTGAAAGTAATAGAAAAGCCTATGTGAGATATGCACCAAAAATGGGCTCAGATGTTTGCAGTGGCAGAATCAATAAATGTACTAAAATAACCAAATTGTATTGATATATTAAAATACATGTTTAAACAATAATCTGCATGAAGAAAACTCAATACTGATGGACATTAAGTTAATTTTTCTAATAACTTAATAGAAATCCAACTTTTGTATACTTTGCTTTTTATAATTTTAATCATCATAATGTTAACTCTCTAAATGCCAAAAACACCTTCGTAAGCTCTATAAATATTTAAATAAAATCTTTAGAGAGTCTAACAAATCTCACAAAGTCTACTTGAAAGAATTTCGTAGGCAAAGTTTCATAGTCAAAGAAAAGCTGGAAATAAATTTGTTAAAGCAAATATAATCAACTTTCTCTTACTCAGTAGATATTTATGATTTACTTCTTTTCCTTCTCTTTCTGTTGCCTCCTTTAGACCCTTTCACTGCTCATTAACACTTCCAGAGAGCGGTCAGAAAAAAAGAATAGTCTTAAATCCGTCACTTTTTAAAACACTCTTTTAAACAATTTTTAAAAGGTTTGGTAGTGGAAAATTGGTGCAGTTGCTGGTTAAGAAGAGCGTTTGGTCTGTATGCGAATCTTTTTTATCTAATTTCTCTGTTTGCCATTGACTATATAGACAGTTGAAAATTATCCGGTCTTCTGCAGTGTCTCCTAATGTCTTTTGAGTGCTTGTGTTTTGCATGTTATGAAAAATTGTCAACTGAAGTTTTAAAAATATTTTTAAAACTCCTTTGCCCTTTAATCTTTTTATAGTATGTTGTCAGTAGCTGTATGACTGTATTCACAGGGCTTTTCTCGAGCACTATCAACTATTTTCTTGGTTTTCCAGTTGAGACATTTAGGAAATGATGAAGTACACATCGTTTGGTCAGAGCATACTAGAGACTACAGGAGAGGAATTATTCCTACCGAATTTGGTGATGTCCTTATTGTAATATACCCAATGAAAAATCACATGTTCAGTATCCAGATAATGAAAAAACCAGAGGTAAGGGCTCCTTATCTTACATTTTAATAATATATTTGGAGTTCTATATGGGTTTGTGAGTTTCTTTCCCTCTTTCAGAAGAATTAGACTAGGCATCAAAACGTGGAAATGGAGGGGGAGATGAGACACAGACTCTGGTAGCTATGTGAATTGTCTAAGTCTACTTCAGAAGGCACCAAAATAGGAAAAATAGAAAGAAACTGTATTCGAATGGAAGAAGGCTAGGTAGTGCCACAGAGTGGAAGTTCCCATTTACTGTTGTTTTTGTACACCCCACAAGCTAAGAATGTTTGTTACATTTTTAATGGGTTTTTCTCTTTTAAAAAATCAAAGAAGAATATACAGCAGAGACAATATGTGGCCACAAAGCCTAAAATATTTACTGTATTATCCACAACTCATGTCTTTGCCTTCAGCTGCCATTTGTACCAGCCATATTCAAACAGAATACTTTGGAAACTGTCAGTCATCTGACAAAAATGACAGATTTTTTTCCTAATAAACCATATAATAAAATAAAAAATAGTGTTTTCGATTCTGTAGTAAAATAATAGTAAAAGTGTTTTAGGTTTGGTAGTAAAGCTGGCATCACATGAAAATAATAAAAAACTAACTTGCTGCCTATAAGAATGTGTGTCCTTCCTGTGTTTACTCAATGGGAGAAAAGTAGATTATTTCCAAGTGTTGGATTTTTGTGTACAATTGCGGCTACAAAAATTTGAAAATTGGCAGGTAGTGTAAATTATTTAGTCAGTTATATGAAGCATATAATTCTTTTGAATGGAAACCCTGTAGACCACTGGCATTTTTTGTTTGTTTATTGTCCTAGTATGAATGACCCATCATGGAAAAGAACTGAATTTGAATAGCATTTCTACTGAAGGAAGAAATAAACAGGAAGCAGAAAGACTTTTGTATGCAAACTGTTTCTTATTTACAACCTTTCTCCAGTTTGAGTATAAAATTATGTTCTAATTTCTCAATCAGGTTCCCTTCTTTGGTCCACTTTTTGATGGTGCTATTGTGAATGGAAAGGTCCTACCCATTATGGTTCGAGCAACCGCTATAAATGCAAGCCGTGCTCTGAAATCGCTGATTCCATTATATCAAAACTTGTATCCTTTTTAACAGTATGGTTTCTACTCTAATATATGTCTACCTTCCAAGGTAACTACTTCTTATGTGTTGTTAAGACCTTTGAGTTTTTGTTTATTGATATATAGAGGATGGAGTTCCTCCCCAGTGTTTAAGCAGTTATGATATTTGAATGATGTATTTTCTTTTATACGCTTTTAATCAGTACTTGTCTTTTGGTTAATTAATTAGAGCCCCGTTATGTACTAGGCATTCTGCTAATCTGGATGTGCAGAGATAACCGTAACAGTCATTTCAAAGTACTCAAATCTAGTTGAGGAAATATATTGTTTTCAGTATCTGTGCTGTAATAGAGTTATTATGCACAGGATGTTCTGGAATTATTATAACAATACTTCAGATACCTCTCAGTCAGCTGTAAGGAGTGGTGGTATCAGGAAACACTTCTGAGAAATGTAAGGATTGAACCAATCTTGAAGGATGAATGAATTAATCAGGTAGATGAGATTAAGAAGAGCGTTCCAAGCAGAGGAACGACATAAACAGAGACATGGAAGTATGCGAGGACATGGAGTGTTTAAGAACATGGCTTCTGGAGCCAGATTACCTGGACTCAAATGCTGGTCACCACTTCATTAGCTGTGCAGCCTTGGGCAAGTTATTTAACCTCTCTGAGCCTCAATTTCCTTATCCATAAAATGAGAATGATAATAATATCTAGCCTGTAGTGTTATGAGAACTGAACGAGTCAATATGTGTAAAATTCTTAGAACACTGCCTGGGGCGAAATATGTACACAGTTTTAAAATTTAAATTGTTTTCTGATATTCCTTTCTAAAATGGATTTGTGTTTCCATATACTTTTTCTACATTATTCAAAACACTTCAATTATTTTTCTTTTACATAATAAACTGTAGATGTTAAGCTTTACAGGGAAAGCTTTTTAAAATATCCTGTGTCCTATTCCACATGAAATGGATTTATCATAAGTCTACTACATACATTTTCTTCTTTTAATGAAAATTGACTTAAGCAATCTGATTTCTATGTAATTTCTCACGTATTCTGATACTGTGGAATGGAATTATAGGTGGATCATGGCATGTTACATTGCTTAAGCTTAATGTCATTTATATAGCATTTCTTATTTGTAGCGGTTACATCTTCACTCTGAGTTGAAAACTCAGATTTGACGTGGTCATTGTCATGAAAGGTAAGGATTCAGTTTATTATATCCTGAATATCTCTAGAAAGGTAGCTAACCTTATAAGGAATATACAGATTATTACCTGTAAACTAATTTTGTCCGCATTGTCAACTCTACTGAGATTGACTTCTTTCTGACCTGTGCCTCTTTACAGTTCCCCTGATCTTGATGTTTATCCTGAGGTTAGTGTTCTCCATCATTTCATTTAAGCCACAGTTGAAAGAATGCCTTAAATCTTTTGGGAAAGTGATGAGAGCGAGATTAGATTGGAATACAAAACTCTTATTTGCCTCTTGTGTCAATAGGAACTCAATTTATTGAACTCACACAAACTATTTCAGGCCTGATATACAAACAACATGTAAAATGCACACCTTACCAAGTAGTTCAAGTATACCAACTAAAAGTGAGGATATAGCTTAATTTCTTTTACCTGCGCCTAAATTCATACTCTTAAGGACTAGTTCAGATTTGCACGTTACACTAGAGGTATAATAGCTGGATTTGCAGTTAGAAACATTGATTTTTTTTTTAACATCTTTATTGGAGTATAATTGCTTTACAATGGTGTGTTAGTTTCTGCTTTATAACAAAGTGAATCAGTTATACATATACATATGTTCCCATATCTCTTCCCTCTTGCGTCTCCCTCCCTCCCACCCCTCTAGGTGGTCACAAAGCACCGAGCTGATCTCCCTGTGCTATGCGGCTGCTTCCCACTAGCTATCTGTTTTACGTTTGGTAGTGTATATAAGTCCATGCCACCCGAGGTCCACCTTGTGATTCTAGTCAAGTCCCAGAATCTCTAAACCTAACTTTCTTCGAAGATCTGTAAAAAAGATGCTAATACTCATCTCGGAATTGTTGTGAAGAATAAATGAGATAATGAATTTGGATGCACCTAGTAAATGAAATAAGGTACGTTATTTTGTGCAGTGATTAATTCTGTTATGTGTAAAGATTACAGTCAATATGAAACAGCTCTACCCAACAGCAAGGAATTGCCTAATTGGGTTTTTATGTTTGGTTGGTTGGTTGGTTGGTTGGTTAATTGATTGGATTGGATTTTAGGCCTGTTTCATGAAGCTCTTAATAGTTAATCTTGCTGAGATGTTAATAAATAGCACATTGGAGAAAATTCTAAGATGGAGAGAGATAATTTCAGATGAAAACAGTAAACATGAACACTTTATTTACACAGCAGATGTGAGCAACTTCTTTCAGGAAAACCACTTCTGGAACTATCAGAGTAAAAATATTAAATCAGATCAAACAAATTTTTCTTGACTTAGAAGCTTGAATTTAGAAGCTATACAGAAGTTATTTTCCCATACTATTTAAATATATAATAGAGATAGCCTTTGCTAATCTGAAGAACATGTAGTCATCTTTCACAAAAGATTCACAAAGGTGTATATTAATTCTAAACGTTGGAGGAAATAACTTCATATAGGTACTGATAGATTACTTGATTTTTATTTTATATTTTTAAGGATAGATTGTATTCATTTTTAAAAATTTTTTATTTATTTTTGGTCTTCATTGCTGCACATCGTCGCAGTGAGCAGGGGCTATACTCTTCCTTGCAGTGCGCAGGCTTCTCATTGTGGTGGCCTCTCCTGTTGCAGAGCATGGGATCTAGGCACATGGGCTTCAGTGGTTGTGGCTCGTGGGCTCTAGAGCACAGGCTTAGTAGTTGGGGTGCATGGGCTTAGTTGCTCCGCAGCATGTGGGATCCCAGACCAGGGATTGAACCCGTGTGCCCTGCATTGGCAGGTGGATTCTTAACCACTGTGCCACCAGGGAAGCCCAGTTACTTGATTTTTAAATAAAAGTTTATACAATAAATTACAGCTAGATGTTTTTGAGATATTGAAATATAAATGTCTTTTCATTTTAAATAACAAATACATATCAGAAATATAATAAAATTTTAAATGTATATTTTTGACAAATTCAGATTTTGACAAATTTCCTTAAGCTCCCATTAAGGAAAAAAAATCATGCGCTCTAAAACAGATCAATAAAACAAAAGAAATTACAACAAAAACTGAGATAGAAGTAGGCTTTGAAAACCATCAGAGTTACTATTTTAATCCTCATAAAAGAAATGAAGGAGTAAAAGAATATGTAATAAACTCAATTATATTTGGATAATTGTACTGCTGTGTCAGTTATTTTATGCCCAGTAAAAGTACCCACTAAGATTCCACAGCATAAATTGTGCTATTTATGATCATTAAGTACAGCTTAAATTTTATCCTAGGAACATCTTCTGTATCTGTGAATCTAATGTTGTTCACTGAATGAGGACAATATTGATTGTCATATGCTGCCCAAATCGATCATGCTGGCAGCCAGAATTACAGTAATCTGTCAGTATTGATGACTGTCTTTCAAGCTTTGAAACCTCTCCTTTACTTCACTTGTTATTTCTTGCATTACTTGTACTTGAAAAGCATTTTCTTGCAACCTCTGACTTTGTCAGCTAGGTTTTTTGGGGGGTTTTTTTTGTTTATTTCTTTTTTTGTCTCGAGCTCAATTTGTTGGTTTGATCATGCGGTTAGAACTGAAATGCATCACTGGGGAGAAGGAGTAGGCACATTCTCAGTAACCATTGGACCTGAGGGGTATTTCATGTTGATCTTAGTCATCATTTATTAATTACCTGCTGAAAGAGAGTGTATGTGTGTGTTGGTGGGGTTTGGGGTTTTTTTTTGTTGTTTGTTTTTGGCTTTTTTGTATTAGGAATAATAATTCCAAAGTATTAATTTCATGATCTTAGCTGTCATGACTTTTCCTTAAATAAAAATTTTAAAGTAATTATTTGTTTTGATCCGAGGGACATTTTGACTATGTATAAATGTTAAATATGTTGCTGTCAAATATGTACTGTTTCTCTCTCTTTTTTAATATGAGATTTATTATACATAGAAATTTTCAGAAGTTATAGTATATAGTCATGTTGTATTCAGGTTCTCAGAGAAACAATCAGTAGGATGTGTGTATATACATAAGTACATAAAGAGAGAGAGAGACTGATTTTAAGGAATTGGCTGACACGGTTGTGGGTACTGGCAAGTCTGAAATCTGTGGGAGTTGGGGTAGAGTTGATGCAGTCTGAGTCAGAAGGCATCTGGAGATAGAATTCCTGCCTTCCTTGGGGACCTCAGTCTTTTCTCCTAAGGTCTTCAACTGACTGGATGAGACCCACCTACATTATGGAGAGTAATCTGATACACTTTTCTCCTGATTTAAATGGTATTCACATCTGAAAAATACCTTCACAGCAACATCTAGGCTGGTGTTTGACCAAAAACTGGGTACCATGGCCTAGCCAAGTTGACATAAAATTAACCACATCCCATGTCCTACTTTTCTTAAGTTTTTCTTCTTAACCTTTCTAACTGCAAAATATAATTTGAAAAAAGTATAAATCCTAAATATACTATATGGTGAATAATTACAGTTTAACCACCACCAGGTCAAAAGATGCAACTGTACTGTTTTTCTTCTGTCAAAAATATTTATTGATCACTTAAATGGTAATGGTAAAGATTTTGAGAGAAATGCAAAGACAAATCAGATGGTAATCTCTTCAATAATCTTATAATTTAATAGGGGAGATAATTATATGTACACTAAAAATTATAACACAAGGTAAAATGTGTCACAGTAGGGTTGTAGATAAGATGCTGTGGGAGTTCCAAGGAAAAAGTCATTACTTTGGAGTAAGAAAATCAGGGAAGAATGTATAGAAAATCTGGGCCTCAAAGGGTGAGATTTGAGTAGATGGAATGCAGCATGTCTGT